CATCTTCGTCGTAGATCCGTGCTTGCACGGCGTTGGCTTCGAATGACCTCTCATCGGCCGGGTGTATGGACACTTTCTGGCCGTCCCAGAAGAACAGTAATTGAAAAAGGGAGGACGGTATGCATCCAGACTGGTGTATCCGGTCACGGCCAAGCAGTATATTGTAGTCAACAGTAATTTTCAACGGTAACACCCCAATGGTTTTAGATTTTTCCCCGACGAAGCTGCTCATGACCACGTTGCTGGGGATGAGGTCCTCCTTCGATTTGTCTAGCTTCCTCATCAAAGAATAGAGAAGGATATTGACCGTCGCCCCACAGTCAACGAAGACTTTGGACACGGGTATCCCCTCCACATGAGTCGAGATGTACAATGGCTTTAGGTGTCGGTATTTGTTCGGCTCGTCTTTGGGTATTACCTCGTTAAAGGCTACGGCCAGTAACTCCTCCTTCGTCTTCAGCTTCTGATCAGATTGTTCTTCGCACACGTCGTTGTCCAGGCCGTTACTCTGTCCCCCCGGGGCCGTGAATTCGGCGGGTAAAACTAACACGGGTCCCCTCATCAGCTTCTTCCTCGGCCGTGCAGTCGTCCTTGGTGAGAGCTTTTTCTTCGACCACCCCGGGAATCTCCCCATATTCTTCGTCAAACAATCCTAACGCGGGTTCGTCTTCGGCCTCATGCCCAAAGAAAGGATACCCAAGGCCGTCGATCGCAGGCCTTGCAGTCTCAGAGACGTTGCTCATGGTCGTCTAGCCTTAGCCAACGTATAGGTCGGTGGCAGAATGGTCTTTGTGGAATTCAGTGAGGAAGGACAAACCGTTGGCCGAAAACGAGGGGTCCCTTCCGCGATAAACATCGACGATACCCTTGTTTGATTCCTCCGGGGTCGCAGCCTTAGGCTCTGTAGAAACGGCTGTCGCTTCACGTGGATCTGTATCTTGCCGAGGATGCCATGCCCTTGGAGGTTTGGTACCGGCCGCTTTCGTCACAGATGGGCTGATTGGTACAAACGGTGGCTCATCTGCGGTCGCCATTTTCTTTTGGCGTTTGAAGTCTTCGACCCGGGTCGACTGTATTCTAGCCTGCTGAACCTGTCTCTGCATTCTTCTCAGCTGGGTCTTTGTCAGCGGCTCGGCCTTGCCCCCAGGCAGTGCATGGTACCAACGGTCATCCCGTACGGCCGGTGGTTTGAAAGTCTTGATTTCGGTCAAACGAGACACTGGGAGCCCATGCCCCCAAGCGATCAAAAACAGCCTTGCTGACCGGTCGGTGACCGTACTGCTCGGTGAACTTCTTCGTAGTCGGTTGAGAGGGCTTGGCGACCTTTCTTTTATTCTCCTGTGGCCTGGTTTGACCGATCTCACATCTGCATCGGTCGCACAATACCAGCGCTGGTTCGGGCAACAACTCTTTCCCTCTTGTCGGCTTCTGTACTGACGTCGAGCTTCCTGCCGTGGCCTTACTACGCCGATGATAGGTGGAGGGAACGGCTCGGTGTCAACCTTCATGGCAGGTTTTTCCGAGAACTGGAGCTTCTTTTCATCTATTAATTTCTGGATAACGTCCTGTAGGACGATACAGTTGTTGGTATTGTGAGACCAAGAGTTGTGGTATTTGCAAAACGTCTTCCCTTTGAGTTCCTCGGCCTTCGGAATTTTATGGCCGAAAGACAATTTGACCTTTTTCTTGGTTAGTAACAGATCGAAGATGGCCTCAGCCTTTGACAAATCAAAAGTGTAGGCCTTCGTTTCTTGGGTCGCAAACTTGGCGTCGGGAATCTTCGTCCGGCTATTGTCGGCCTTGACAAGTTCCTTGCAGATGAACGGTTTGTCTATGCTGACTTCAGCCGAGCTTATCTCAATTTCGCCATCTTCGGCCTCAACTGGGTCCTTTGCCTCGGTATAGCCGACGATGGGATTCTTGTAACAGGGATGCGTATCTGTCCACCTTGCTGATCAGGTCATGCATTTCCCGGAATTCGATCCCTTGGAATTTTTTTCGATATTCGAATTCTAGCCCTTCTTCGGCCATTTTGAGGAATTACCTCTCTGGAAGGTTAGTTCGGCACTAATTCCTGCATGTCTTGAACCGCTGCAGGTAATCGCGAGGCGACTCATCTGACGCTTGGCTCATCCTCGTCAGCTCAGCGACCGTTATCTCTTGATTGGTCTGGTAGAAGTGTTCATGGAATATCCTTTCCATGTAAGCCCAGTCCCACACCGAATTCGGTGGAAGATTTATAAACTATGAGAAAGCTGTGCCGATCAGGGAGTGAACAAACAGTCGGAGCTTTTGGGCATCCAAGTCGGCCTCTCCACACTGGGCCGTAAAACGGCCTATATGCTTGATTGACGAGGTTTGCCTGTCCCCGGAGAACAACATGAATTCTGGCAACCGATAATTCCGGGGAAGAAGGGTACGGTCTATTTCTGGTGGGTACGACTTGGTATACCTCGGTGCCTTCGACCGTCTTTGGGCTAGGCCGTCCTCGATCATACGCCGAACATCTTCGGCCCGAAGACCCTGTGGGGGTGGCTCTAGCTGAGCCTCAAGCGGCTGCTGGACCTATTGGGCATCGTTCTGTGGCCTTATTTGCTAGGCCACTTGAATGAGGGGTTCGGCCGTAGTGACTGAGCTGAACTGTGCTTGGTAGACGTTGTGGGCTCGGCCATGGTATGCATGGTCCACCTGCCGTAATGGTATGGCCACCTAATTCTGTCACGCCGGACCACTCTGGCATTGAGAACCCAAGTTCATCTGGGCTCCCGTTGGGACGGTCGAACCGTGCTGTAACTGGGAGCCCAACTGGAATATCGATCCCTATAACGGTTGCGCTACGGCCGGACCATTCTGGCCGTACTGCTATAATGATGCCGCGGTCGTGTTACTTGAGCCGGGCTGCATTTGGACGGCCAGAGTACGGACCAGGCCGAGTTGCTGGACCGTGGAATGTGCAGGGCTATTTTTCCCTAACAGTACCGCCGTTTGGAATTGGCCGCATGGGGTTTCTGTGGGATAAGTCAGACCGGGATTTGCCCATGTCTGCTGGGACTGCCCCCAGCTATTCGTCGGCAGGTGAGGATGTTGTCCGTAGCCTGACTCTAGTGTGAGCCAGAAGCGCCGAGGCTGCTGCCCTCACCGTAGGGGTCAACCCTTTCGCGCTCCTGATTTCTTTGTCCAGCTCTGGGGGGTGATGTGGGCGAGGAAATCGGCATCCTCTCCTGAAAAAGCGTCCGTAGTTCTGAAGAAAATCTATCCATTGCGGCCATAAAGGATGTTTCTATCCTATAGCCTGCTTAGCCATTAGATCTTCCACCAGAGCTTGCTCCTGTATGGACTCGGTCGTGTGAGTCGTTGACATTGGAACGCTGGCCGAGATGCTGAGAGTCTGCTCGGTCTCGGCGATGTTTATCGATGAGGCCAACTCAGGAGTCTCAGAAGTCATCTCGACTCTTTTATCCTTGAGTTTTGCCTGTGACATGGTTTCCACCATAAGGTTTTGACAGTGTACTTTAAGATGTCCCACTGGGCGTGCCAAAAAGTGTTGGCGTTCATGAATCTCACGGCCTGGTGTTCCGGGTCGAGGGGATCTGCGTCAACACAGGTCGTCCTTCTTCTGGCGCTGTGTGGTTTGTGCGAGGGTTTACCGTGCGTTTGGGAATGATGCGGCTGGGTGAATAGATAAGTTGCGTGCCTGTTTAAGTCTGACTTGGAATTTGTCAAGAGCAAAGAAAAGAGCGGTTTGCAATTCTTTCTATGGTATTAAGGTCCCTGAAGGTTATTCTTCAAATATAAAAAAATCTTGTATCTTTAAAAGATTCAACAATTGCTCCCTGTGGCAATTCGTTCTGTTTTGGAGAAGCCTGCAAGGTATGCAATAACTCAATTGTGCTTCTTCTTCAATGCTATATGTGCAAAGCCGGTAGATGTTTCCAAGCTAGATAAGTTGGAAGAAGATGTAGTAGTTACTTTTTGTTTGCTTGAGAAGTACTTTCCCCCTTCATTCTTTGATATCATGGTTCATCTAGTAGTACATCTTGTCAGAGAAGTTCGTCTATCTGGGCCAGTATATTTTAGATGGATGTATCCGTTTGAAAGATATATGAAAGTGCTAAAGGGGTATGTTCAGAATCGTACTCATCGGTTGCATTGCTGAGCGGTATATAGCTGAAGAAGCTGTAGAGTTTTGTACTAAGCATTTATCTGATGTTAGTACAATTGGAGTGCCTTCAAGCCAGAATATGGGAGTTTCAAAGCCATTATCAGGTTGCACAGTGAGCTTAGTTGATCTGGACTTGTTGAACCAAGCACATCTATATGTCTTAGAGAATACGGAGGAAGTCCTATCTTATATTGAGTACGTATGAGTTTAATTTTTCATATGTAGCCATTTTAAATATTATTATTCCTTATGTTTATCTTATATACAAAGGACCGTAATGCTTGATTTTTTTGTGTCAATTGTAGGGAACATATGATCCACATCAAGACCACTTATCCAAAATTTAGAAAGAGAACAAAGTGGCTACAAGATAAGCACAATAGCACTTTCATTCAATGGCTACGCATTAAGGTATATATGTTATAGAATCACTACTACAATTATTCAAAAAGACAACGCTGAATTCACAACGGTTGGCTCCAAAACCGTTGTAGTTGTTTCTTCCACAACGGTTATTACGTAACCGTTGTTAAAGGGGGTTTTTAAGTGTTGTGGTTTAGGGTATGTGGTTTTATTTATTTATTTCACAACCTTCCACAACGGTTTTTGTTTCAACCGTTGTAATTGAAGCTGTAAAAAAAAAAACAAGGAGTGAACAGTGATTCAATATTTTTTCTTAAGCCTATATAGTTGTCATTCTCTCTTATCTCTCTTCTATCTCATCTCTGGTGTCTCCCTCTCTCAACAGTCTTGTTCTTCCCACCTCTGTCTCTCGCGTCTCCCTCTCACCACGCTCTCTCTCTCTCTCTCTCTCTCTCTCTCTCTCTCTCTTCTCCATCTCCCGTCTCTTTCTCTCTCCTCCCTCCTTCTAGTTTAGAGAGATTTGGGTTTTAATTTTAGGGTTACTGATTTGGGTGTTAACCATCTCTCTTTGTTTCCTTTGCAGGTGCTTAGCTTTTCCATCTCTCTTGCCCTCTACAGATGTTGCGCTCACACTGAAGCTTTGATAGGTAAGAACTCTGGAGTGCTTTTCTTTAATAAGAACTCTGGCCAGTCCCCTTTCTCAGTGTCTCAGGCCCCTTTCTTTCATAAGACGCTCGATTAGTTTCAATATTTAATTCCAACTTGTTTTCTCTGATTTTGGTTCAATTTGAGATGGATTTAGGGTTCAATTTTGACTGGGTTAGGGTTTCTCTCTCAGATAAAGGGTTAGGGTATCCATGTGTGTTCAGATTTGTTCCGCTGGGTATCCATGTGAATCAAATCGTAATGCCCGAGTGAGGTTAATGCTCTGATTTGTTAAAGGTAAAAGCTCCAGCGTTCTTGTTGAAAATGGTCTTTATGTAATTGTAACTTATTTCGTCTTTAGATTTAACGTGGTATTCTTTGTTCCTTTAGCTGGTATTTACGTCACTGGATGATGGTTATTATCCATTTGTTAAGGTTTTTGAATTTTTATTCTTGCAAATCTTA